ACACATTTGATCCTTTTTCTGCGTGCGTATAAGATAATAGGTACATTTATGAGAGCCTTGGTGGGCCTAGAAATGTGTGACAGTGGGCTCAAATGATACATCATCCTAATTCATTTCAGTTGTTTATTGCTTTCATTAGACTCACGGGTTCCATACCAAAGATACAGGTACGTGTGGCAAGATAAGCCCCAATCAGGATTTGAATGGGTAAAAGTCTGCTCAGTGAATGAGTAAAATAGGAAAGGTCCACATGTGGGGTTCATTATGCTGACTGATTACAAACAATTACAAACTCAACAGAAGTTAGACTTCATTGTTAAGTACCGAAATCCAAGATCAGAGGAGGGAATTGCATTAGAGCTTAAATTCTGAGCACCTGGCTTGCAGAAGAGAAGTTAGGGCTGTTCTCCATTACTCATGTGGCTTTGAATTTGACATCCCTAGTGGTACTGTGGGTTCAGCCTTGAGCTGATCACGATGAAGTTAGTGGGTCAAGCCCATCAGCGGCTCCGAGAAAGATGAGGCTGTGAGCTCCCACAAAGCTTTACAATCTTCGAAACCCTATATAAGGATGCTGTGAGTTGGCATTGACTCAGTAGCAATGGATCTGGTTTATCACCTGGTACCTGGTAATATATGCAGAGACACCTCTGTCCTCTATCCACCACCACTGGTGACGATGGTGCCCCTCGGACTCAGGGGAAACTCCACTTTCAGTAGCTGAATTTTGGAAATTGCTCTCCAGGCCTGTCTTTCAAGTTGCTTCTGTACTCGAACCATCAACCTCTGGGGTAGCAGTGAAGCAAGTTATCTATGGAAACTCCGGTCTTCTACACAATCTTGTAGAAGATGATAAGATGACAATCTTATCAGCCTTTCAGAGGTGACAGCTGCCTGTGGCTTTTCTCAAAGACAACAGGCTGAAGGGATGTACAGTGAACCCTCGCCACTTCGCGCTTCGACTTCCGCGCCTTCACTCTATCGTGGTTTTTGCGTAACAGCACCCACTGCCTACACCCGCTCCTTCAGAGG